CTAAGTCATTTCAGTTGTGTCCAACTCTTTGCAGCCCCACTGACTATAGCCTACCAGGCTCCTCTGTCCATGGGATTCTCGGGCAAAAATACTGGAATGGGTTGCCATTCCCTTCTCCAGAGGATCTTCCTGACCACAGGAATCAAACCCAGGTCTCTTATGTCTCCTGCATTGGCAGGCAGGTTCCTTACCACTAGTGCCACCTGGGAAGCCCTGCTCTGAGATCCAAGGGCTCCTGTAATTGCAAAGAAATATGTTCTCATACTGTTGATTCTGCATTAGAAAATAAGAAACTATTTTGGGGGTGTTAGGCTAGAAAAGCTCAATGGCAATTTCTGACTTGATACAAATATTCCAAGCAGTTCATAATTTTTACTTTAAAAGGAAATGAAAAATGTTTGAAAAAAATTAAAGATGGTTGTTACTACTTTCCTTGGTGAATCCAAAAATCCCTCTTTAAAAAAAAAATGCTGTAAGAGTATTCAGTTACTTTTTCTATTACAAACAATATTTCAGGGGCCTGCCCTCAGATAGGAAATTATGATCCCTGTTCTGTATGATGCTTAAAAACAATATAAACCCAAGTGCTAAAGAAAGGACTGGCTTCGAATTGATTCAGTACTTGCATTTTATTATAGGTTTCAGAAAGGTAACATCTGTATATAACTAAATACTGTTTCTCTTGGAATAATAAAAGGATGATAATCTTAATTGGGGAAATTGTGAAGAAAATACAATGAAATATCCCTATATTCTTTCAGCTTTCAGTGGGAGAACAGGATGCTGCAAAGGTGAAGTTAATTTGGGGCATTACCCATGAGCATACAGCTGATTAGGTAGGCAGAGGTCCTCATTACAAATTAGTCTCTCCTGTGAAGCTGACGGGTTTCCCTGGAGGTTCAGAGGGTAAAGAATCTACCTGTAATGCATGAGACCCAGGTTCAGTCCCTGGGTTGGGAAGATCCTCTGGGGAAGGGACTGGCAACCCACTCTAGTATTCTTGCCTAGAGCATCCTATGGACAGAGGAGCCTGGCAGGCTACAGTCCATGGGGTTGCAGAGTCAGACATGACTGAGCTGGTGGGGATTTGAAGACTCTGAGAAGCCTTAGAAACTCCGCCTGGAGTGTGGCATCGTGAAAAAGGCGACTGGATATGACAAAAACCACTACAATATTGTGAAGTAATTAGCCTCCAACTAATAAAAAAAATAAAAAGAAAAAGAAAAGAAAAAGGCAACTGGAAACAAAAGAGAACCACAAAAGGAAGTTTGCCCTGAGCATTTTACTGAGGAAATGGGCCTGAAAAAGAGAAGTCTATTTATACAGATAAAGAAGGCTTCAATTTTTAATATACACCTGTGGGAGTATTCACCATCCAGAAACACAGCACAGCATGCAGCTAGGTCATAGAAACCAAGCTGCCCGAGAACAAGTGCTTTGTAATTGGAGCAGTATTGTCCAGACTAGATGCCTTCGACCCTGGACAGGGTGAGAAGATGGGTACAGAGCTGAAAGAGAAGCTGGGGAGGAAGGGACTTCAGCTTCCTGGGGTCGGGCTGAAGCTCCAGGCTCACGTTTCCTTTTTGTAATTTTATTCATTTTTGGCTGTGTGGAGTCTTCACTGCTGTGTGGGCTTTTCTCTGGTTGTGGTGCATGAGCTTCTTCCTGCCGTGGCTTCTCTCGTTGCGGAGCACGACAAGGCACATGGACTTTGGTAGTTGCCGCTCTCAGGCTCTAGAGCGCAGGCTTGGTCATTGTGGCCCACGGGTTTAGTTGCTCCACGGCAGCTGGGATCTACCCAGATCAGGGATTGAACCCATGTCTCCTGCATTGGCAGGCATATTCTTTACCACTGAGCCACCAGGGAAACCCTGAGCTCACATTTTGATATCTGAAAAGCCTTCATAAAGTGAAGTGCTTATTGGATTTCTTGGCTCCCTGATTAGCCAGTGAAGACTCAGTATATTTACCTTCTTTCTGTGCATTTTCATCTTTCATTAAAATCTTGTGTGAATAGACCTCTTTAAAGCTCTGTAAAGTACACCATCAGAAAATCCTCTAGAAAGAGATTTTATCTGTATCTCTTGTACAGAATAGAAATGCCTTAAAGCAGGTGATTACCCCCAAAGACCTCCCGCAGCCCCTCCCTGGCCAGATCCATCGTCATCTTGTCTTGACTCAGTGGGAAGAGAAGAACAGTTTGGGCCACAACATGCAGCCACCCCTACCACCAGCCCTCCTAGGCCTGTGTGTAGCCTGCATCACTGGAAGCCCATTGTGGCCTCCAGTCAGGAAAGCAAGGATTCTTGATTCATTGCACAGTTGAGGTTTTTTGTGTCTGCTGCCACCATTCTCCTGAAGCCCCTTTTGGTAAAATCAGCAATAGATTTTTCTGTTTTCCCAAGCTGGGGCTTTCAGCCAGAAAACCCAGTAAAAGTAGCAGCCACTCCTCTGTGTGCCCGCCACTGTGCTGGGCACAGATTTGTGGGCCTTTTTAGTCCTCTGGACATCGGGCATTGCTCCCACCGTCTAAGGAATCTTCTCTTGACTTCGTGATCCTGCTGTCAGGCTTCTTCCAACTTTGTTTCAGGTTCCTTCATTGACTACTTTCTTCCCCATTTCTTCATTAATACTTAATTTCTTAAGTACTCAATTAATACTTCCTAAGTATTACCCATCCCTGCAGGGTGATTCTTAGCCCTCCTCTAGTTCACTCTGAGCCACTTTGTCAGCTCCTATTTCCTCGGTCACCCCCTCTCTGTGTTTGGATTTCCAGATCTGATTCTTATTTCCAGTTTCCTACCGGACATCTCTGCCAGATTATCAAGGTGATAATAGGATTCAGAAAGGTTTCTTGCAAAAGCACAGTCTGCTCTAGTGGTCTTTATCCCAGCTAATGGCCTCTTCATCCTCAGCATCCTACCGCTCACCACGTGGACCAGTCAGAAGACCCTCTTGATTCTTCCTCATCAGAATGGCAGCTCCCCTTCCATTCTCCAGAGTATTGACCTCAACTTGGGGGCTTAGGACTCTGGTTTGAATTTATACCTTCCTGCCTCCCCACATTCAGCCTCTAGCTGTTTCAGTCCATACAACCCACTGTAGCTATCTTTCTGCAACACAGACCTGATCAAGTCACTCCCTACTTGAAAGCACCCAGTGGATCCTAGGTTGGCAGAATAAGTTACAACCATCCAAACCTACTGTACCATCCTAATCTCCCACCAGTTATGCAAACCCATATTTCTCATTTCCAGATGTGTGCATGTGTATGTTGATTCTGCTGCTAAAACGGCCTCTTCAGTCCTCTTCGGCCTGGAGAATCCCCTCCATCCTTGAAGAGCCAGGTCAGTCACCTGGCTCAGGACGCAGCTGGTTGAATGAATGGATGAAGACTTGCCCACTCCCTCCTGCGGAGTCAGGCTCTTGCTGCCCAGCACTCTGGAAGTTCTCTGTTCCCATCTCTGTCACATCTGTCAACATTTGTGTTGTAGCTGCTCTCAAGCCAGGAATGGTGATATGTCTCTCCCTGTCCATGGCAGACGTTGTTCCCAACCCTCCTTACTGCAGAGCCCAGACGCAGCTCAGAATCCGTCTCAACATAGCACTAGACAGCCGCATTCAGCAGACCGAAGTCTGCACACGATCTGAGGTCTCTGTGACATCCCCCAAAGTAGACTGCATTTCTCCAGCTTGTGGGCCACTTAATACCCACTCAGTTGCAGAATGAATAACAGATGGCTTTTCTTTTTTCTTTGGGACAGGGTTTCTTAATACTACATAACATGTTGGTTTTTAACCTTATGTTAAGGGGAATGTGTGTGTGAGTTGCTCAGTTGTGTCCGACTCTGTGCAACCCTACGGACAGTAGCCCACCAGGCTTCTCTGTCCCTGAAATTCTCCAGGCAAGAATACTGGAGTGGGTTGCCATTCCCTTCTCCATATGTTAGGTGTATGTTAATACTATTTCATGTCACAGATAACTGTCCACAAGAGTGTATTCGCAAGAGGTGATTTGTTGGAACCCATTGTTACTCTTTGCAAAGAATTTTGCACACGTCTGCACACATTCAGGCCATACATTCCACGCCTTCACACACATGTTCAGTCACCAAAGTGCTGCCTGTTCCTGCCACAGCCTCTCTCTTTACAGAATTCAGCCCATGGTTTTACCTTCCAGTCAGCATGCTGCATGTTATTTCTTCTAGCCTTCAACTTATCTTGTACGTTTCCAAGAGCTGGTTGGATAAAGTATTAAAAAATAAAAGTATCTAACCTTACATTCCAATTTCATATCTCTTTCTGGCAATCAACAAAAGAAAAGTGGTGAGTCTGGGTAATTTTAAAACTAGTTAAAAAGCACTTCACAGGCACTGCTTTTTTTCTGTACTGCATGAAACACTTAATATTACATAGTAATACTCTCAGTAATCAATTTTCTTTATCTCTGATGCAGATATAGTAGCTCTCAAAAAGGTGTGTCAAAACAACCAGGAAAATGTGAAACACCTTTTCCATGGCTCAAGCGAGAGATGAAATGTAATTATCATTATGGAGTTCAATGAGTTGTATTCAAACTATCGGACCTTCTTTCATTCTGGTCACATTTCAGAGTTTATAAATGGAAAATGGGTAATATAAAGGAAGAAATCAAGAAATCTCATATTTTCCCTCAATTCCCTTAATGTACATAGGACAGCTGGTCCTGGAATGCGCAAAGCAGAAGGCTCGTGCGTGTCAGTCATAATAAGACTGTGCAATGCAGTAAACAGAACGATGAGAAAACAGTAAAAACAAAGGAGAGACAGGGTCTGGGAAAGCCTGCAGCAGTTTCTGTAAAATAACAGTGGCACTGCAGCAACACGTGTCTACAGAGCCTGTTCTCTTCACTGTCTGATGAGTCTGCCTGTTGATGAATTACTGAAATCGTTTCCTCTCACCTTTTTATGTATTTTCTCTCCTATTATGTTCTCACCTGTCTTGTCTGGAAAACCCATCAGGCTAACTGTCAGGTAGGTTCTTCTTGATGTTTAATGTGATTATTAGGAGTGTCCACAGCAGGAAATGAAGTAAACAGACTGTGGGTGGCCTGTGACGAATGATAAAACTAACCAGAAGAGGCAAATGCTAAATTACAGAGAAACTTTCTGCAGATGCGTGAAACTGTAGGAGCTGCTAACCCTAAGCACGTCCAGCCATTGTGAACATCTGTCACAGGAACTGTAGCCTAAAGGATTACCTCAGCTCTAAATGATGAAGTAGCTTACCTGGACTGTCCGGTTTTTACCATGGCTCAGAATACAGCCCGCCCCCAGAGGGACCGAGCGTCATGGAGTGATACTATATCCTATGTGGCCACAGCAATTCTGCTGCAAATATGCTACCAGCTTTTACAGATTTGGCCAGGTGCAAGAAAAATTCCCAATGATGTATTCTAAATCCCTATTTTAAGTATGTATTCAGACATGCCTTGTACCTTGAAGAAAGAGACTGGGAAGAAACAGGGAGAGGTGGCGTGTACTTTGTTCATGCTAAGCTCACCCTTGGAGTTCCATCTGACATGGCTTAACTCTCCAAAAGAATGTCGCTTGAAATTGCAGTAGGGGGCGGACCTGTTTGTTTCTCTTCTTGGTGTCACAGAACTGCAGTATTCCTTCACCCACATGAAGCAGCAGAAAAGCTCTATTTAGATCCTCAAGTGCAAGACAGATACTTTATAAACCTAAACCAGAGCTGAGCCCAAGAGAAGAGAGACATATATTTAAATTAGAGTATGTTTGGTGTGTGTGTGTTGTTGTTGTTTTTAACTTGAGCTTATTTTTATCTTTCAAGAGAAAAAATTATGTGCTACAGTTGCCATGCAACACAAACTGCTCTAACAGCTTTCTAATTTTAATTTCAGAAGTCTACAGAGCAAATGAAGAAGGTTCCAACTATCATCCTTTCAGTCTCGTATAAAGGAGTCAAATTTATTGATGCAACAAATAAGGTGGGTACCATACCTCTACAGTCCTGAGTAAATGATCTAAAATCCTTTGCTTCCCATCATACTTAACATCCCCATTTTATTTATTTAATTTTTCTTAATGTTTTGGCTACATCGTGCGACATGTGGGATCTTAGTTCCCCAAGCAGGAATCAAACCTGAGTTTAAGTCTTAACCACTGGAGTCTTAATCACTGGACCACCAGGGAAGTCCCATCATCCCCCATTTTAATCACTCCCCAACCCCCACCTTCATGCTTCCTAAACACACACACACACACACACACACACACACACACACACACCCACCCACCCACCCACCCACCCACCCACCTTGCATTTGGAGGCTTGATCCAGGATTTCTCCACACATTCACCTTTCCAAGGTACCTTCCCTCATAGACTGTGCTGTTCAGGCTCTGACAATATCCCCTTGGGTCCAGGGAACATGAAAACAGGAAAAATTATATCTAGAGTGAAAACGCATCAATGTTCACTCCTCCGTCAGAGGAAGTGTCACTAGGCAACAGACTAGAATGTTTGTCTTTCCATTTCTCCAGAGATAGGCCTGTCCTTTCTTTTGATGAATACCTGACCCAGGGAACACATGCTCTGGCTTTTACATCATATAATTGCATTTTGTTCTCAACTATTGAGATGGAAGACAGGGTTTCAACTGTGTTGTTTTCTTAAGAGGCACCATCCAAAAAGCTCAGGCCAAGCTGTGACTATGCTATGACCTTGCACTCACTGGGAGAATGGTTCATGGGCTCCAAGGTCAAGTGTAGACAAATGGGTTGCATTTTACTTCAAAAGTATGCTTTCTTAGCAAAGATGACAGAGTGCAGGTACTAAACTAGAAAATGTGAGTGTGACCACTCTCATCCTCCATAAACTCAAACCTGACTGGCTCTTCCTCCCAAACCCCCAAATGTCCCTGCATTTTAGTCTCACATCCTTCCAACCAATAAAGTACAGAAATTAGGGAAATGAGGTGATCCCCATTGGTGCCTATCCAGTCCTCTCAGTTGGACCCACTCCATTCTGGGGAAAGGAAGCAGAAGTCTTGAAACAGATGAATTTTAATGATGGAAATTTATGACCAGGGCACCTGGATTTAGATTCAGGGAAACATCCTGTGGCCAATGACTCTTGACTGTAATAAGCCTGACCATCTGAGTCCCCGGATTCAATGGCTTTCACCCACTGAAAGCCTTCCCAGTTTGTTTTCTGTAATGAAGACTGCTGTGTCAGTGGTCAGAGAAGCCCAAGTTCCCCAAGTCTATGAGGAGAACAGCCTCCCAGTTTTAGAAGCAGTTCTGAAATCCAGGCAGAAAGCTGATAACTCAGCCTGCTCAAGCTAGTCAGTGATGTCCAGAGCACACTCAGAGTCAGATGCTTATGTGGATGATGGCTTCAACCTGGCAGTATGTCATTGACAGTTACCATTCAGTTCAGTCGCTCAGTCATGTCTGACTCTTTGCGACCCCATGAACTGCAGCATGCCAGGCCTCCCTGTCCATCACCATGTCCATTGAGTTGGTGATGCCATCCAACCATCTCATCCTCTGTTGTCCCCTTCTCCTCCTGCCCTGAATCTTTCCCAGCATCAGGGTCTTTTCCAGTGAGTCAGCTCAGTTACCATTATCAGATTACAATTGTGGGGAGCCTGATCAGAAAAATCCCAATTGATTTGCTTTTTCATTTCTTAGAAGCAACTTTAGTTGCTTCCTTTAGCCCTAGATTATAGTCAGTTGGTTTTTAAAGTTTCAAAACTTTATGGAATTCTTAAGATACCATTGCTTTCACTGTATCTAAACGTCAAGAAAGTCTTTGGCATTGACTGTTTTTGTTTTCTTTTTTTTTTAAACCTGGAGCAGTTGCCTCTACCCCATTTGCACTTGAAAATCATGAGTGGCAGTACAGTTTCAGCATATGAGTTTAACACTCTCTTAGATTAACAATCTTATTAGCAGGCTTGGATTCTGACATTTTCTAAACAAGTTGTATTTGCCCTGAGAAGTTTCCAGAGTCTTAAGACTGTTGTCCCATGAAGCTGGTGGCATGACTGGGTGCATCTGTGATAATAGCATCCTCTCTAACACGCTCTCCACCATCAGAGGAAGGAGAGTGCACTGTTGGCTCGGTGGCCTTTACCTTACAGACACATTAGTGGCTGTAGATCTTGATTTCCTAGACTTTGAGAAGATGCTTCTGCTTTAGTCACCCGTACTTAGATGAGTTACTCATATAGCTCTCCTCACTAAGGATTACCTGGACATCTAAACACTGAAAGATATGCCAAAGATAATTGCATGAATAAAGACACTAGAGGAAGAAAGCCCGTGTGTCTTTGAAGTCCTCACAGTGTGGTCCTCAGCCTATTCTCAAAATCCAGAGCAAAGGCAGATGCATATGTTGGTGGCAGGTGGAGCCAACCTCTCTATGACCTTTAATATGTTACATTCCAATTTCATATCTCTTTTTGGCAATCACAAAAGAAAACTGGTGAGTCTGGGTAATTTTAAAACTAGTTTAAAAGCACTTGCCTGGCCTTCTCAGGAATTTGGGGACATTGACGTCAACACCGGTGGCTGCACTGGATCCCCATCCCAGCGTCCCAGGGTGTTGCTGATCTGCTTCCCTCTGATGGTGGACGGTGGGTGACTCGGGGCCGTGGCCTAGGAGTCAGTATGTGGGAAACCAAAGCAGAGAGCTCATGTTAGAAGGCAGAAGAGAGAAACAGTGAAGGGCTGCGCTGGTGGCGTGTGTCTGAGGAAGCTGAGAGACCCTGCCAGCCAGGGCGAAGGCCTGGTTTCGGGGGGAGTGGAGGAGCCAGTGCTGAGGGTCGTGCTCGGGTCGCGGTGTGAAGGGAACTGTGCCCATCAGCAGCGTCTGCAGGGCCTCGTGTGTGCCCCTTGGTCCTGTTCCAAGTCCAGCCTCTGGTTAGTGCCCACAGCGGGGAAGGAGCAGGCTGAGGCATTCCCGGTCCTGCTTCCGGTTTGCACCGGAAGTTCCTCCCCTGGGAAGCATTGTCAGCAGGGAGCCGCTCTGACTTGCCGCGAAGGACTTGTGATTTGTAGACATCTGGGAAGACCTCACAATTGGAGGCGCTGTGACCTCTAAGCCTGTGCTGAGACACAAGCAGAAGTCACAGCTTAGTGTTTATGTTTGGTGTTTCCTTGTACTTGATTCTTAAACTGTCCCCTCCCGACCCCCGCGTCTCTGTAGCCCTGCCCTGGTCACACAGCAGCGGGGTTTGGACTGCCCTGGACACGTCGAGTAACCAAAGGCCTCAGACCCTTTCCAAGTGACTGCCCAGCAGTGACACAGCCAGCTGGTCACTCAGAAGGGCTGGAACTTGACCTTCCCATCCCCTAACCCAGTGCTTTTTCCTGTTACTCCACAGCTGCTTCTGCCGATTCGTTAGAGGTGCAGTGGATGCTTAATTTACACTTCCACTCGTGTTTGCTTGCATTTGACTAGGTAAAAGGTGAACCTTCTAGCCAAGCACTTCTTTCCTTTTACTTTCATGAAGTAGCTGTGGCTGAGTCCAGGGAGAAGGTTAGGTGTCTGGTTATCAACTCATGAGTTTATTACCTACCAACACAGGAAACAAATTGAATAACTAAACTCTATTTGAAAAGGAAGAAGCGAAAATGACCTTCAGCTAAAAATGGGACTTGGAATAGATTTATACTAAAATGTTACAGATAAATCACACCAGCTTTCTGGTGCTCCATAGCCCAGAGGTAGCTCTAGCGTGGCTTTCCACCAAGAAGACTACAACTGCTTAGTTCCAAACCCGTCTTCAGATCAGCAGGGCCTTCTAAGAGGTGCCACAGTCCCCACATCCAGCACTTGACCAAGATTGGGTTGCATTTTGCCTTCCTGCTCTGACCCCCTCCTCAGTCTTCCCATCCAGCTAAATTAGAAATAACTCAGTGCCTGGGTTTGTTTGTTTTGAATGTCAGCCTCAGGTGGGGCTGATGCTGTTTTTTTAGGCACAGATTAACTTAGGATTTTTGCCTAAACAAGTTGTTTATAGCACATGCAGCCTCCATTCCATCCACAGCTGTGGCATAGTCTGTACTCCAGGACCATTCCTTAGTCTCAGAATCATCATACACGTGGAGACCTGACCTTGCCATTCTACAAAGGTGATGCAGAGTGATGGCATCATTGACCTCAGTGTTACCACATGTAGATTTGTGTGCCTGACCCACAGTGAGGCTAAACACTCCGAATGTCAGCGTTTGAAGCAGAGAAAGGTTTATTGCAGGGCCAGGCAAGGAGAACAGGTGGCTCATGCCCATAAAACCCCAAACGCCCTGGAGGGAGAACCACCACACCTTTATTTAGTTTTTCAGCAGAGCATTTTTAAAGGCCAGGTGAGCAAGTGGTATCCCCAGGTATGTGATAAGCTCTCTTGACTGGTTGATGGCAATCAACCCTTAGGCGCCAGATGGCATGGCAGCTATGTGCTCTTGATCATCAGATATTTAATTTCTTCCCAGGTGCTAGTAGAAAAGAAACTGCCTGCTGATGCAGGAGACACAAGAGACATGGGTTCGATCCCTAGGTCAAAAAGATCCCCTGGAGAAAGGCATGGCAACTCACTCCAGTATTCTTGCCTGGAGAATCCCATGGACAAAGGAGCCTGTTGGGCTACAGTCCATGGGGTCGCAAAGAGTCCAGCATGACTGAAGCAACTAAGCACGCATGCATGGTGGTTTTTTAGCATCTGAAAAACTCAGGCATGAGATACTACAATCTGGGTACTTCTTAGAGGATGTGGGAGTGGGGTCTGTCCTGAAAAGGCCTCACTCGGTTACATCCGTAGTGAGATCCCAGGTCCTGTCCACATTCCAGCACCACCAACCTATCAGAAATTCTGTTCAAGATACCTCTCCACCCAGTCCATCAGTATGAATTCATTTATAAGCATATTTTTCAATTGCCAATTAGGGTGATTAAATGCCAGTAACATGAGCTATGAACTGATTATAGAACATTTTTATTAGCCTGCCTTTCCTCTGGTTTAGACCATGAGAACAGAGGAATAAACGTTTCAGCAGTAGGTGAGGAGGCTGATTTTGGAACATGGAGCAGCATGGAGGAGGGCAGGGCCTCAGAGTTAAGAGACCGTCCTGGGCTCCTGGGGATGAGAGAAGTGAGGGAGTGGAGGGTGGGGATGGTTGTGGGGATGGGTTTCAGAAAACTGGGAGGGAAAGTCAAGAAAGAGGAACAGTGTTTTAGTGCTGTAATAAATTACCATAAATGGGGTTGCTTAAACCACAAATACTTATTTCTCACAGTTTCAGAGGCTGGAAAGTCCAAAATTAAGTCAGCAACACATTCAGTATCTGATGAAAGCCTTCATTTGCTGCTTCATAAACAGCCATCTTCCTGCTGTGTCCTCATGGCAGAGAGGGCCAGTTGGCTCTGTCGACTGTTTGGGTTTTTTTTTTTGGCAATTTTTTTAAAGCCAACTTAGATTGATTTATTTACTTTTATTAAATGTTTTGTTTTGTATTGGAGTATAGCTGATGAACAGTGTTGTGCTAGTTTCAGATGGACAGCAAAGGGACTCAGCCATACATACACATGTATCCATTCTCCCCCAAACTCCTCTCCCATTCAGGCTGCCATATAACCTTGAGCAGACTTCCCTAGAGAATGAACTTATGATTTCTGGGGGGGGTAAGATGGGGAGGAGGGATAGTTAGGAAGTTTGGGATAACCAAGGACCCACTGGCTCCTCGTCTTGTAAAAGCACTAATCACCTTCATGAGAGCTCCACCCTCTTGACCTAATCATATCCCAGAAGCCCCCCTCTCAGCACCATCACTGGAAGCTAGGATTTCACGATACAAACTTGGAGAGGAGAGACACATGCGGCTCATAATTCAGAGAGAGCCCCAGAGATAAAGCTTGGTCTGCTTGACAAGTGTTCCCTGGGCCACAGGGCTGTCCTATGCCACTGAAAACCAGGAGTGACACCTTATGAACTGGCAAGATGCAGGGTATTCAGTGCAATAAAAGTCGCAGGGTTCACTGTAACACCTTCCCGAGAAGTTAGTCTACCTTTTTCGTTGTTGTTCAGTCATGTCTGACTCTTTGTAACCCCATCAACTGCAGCACGCCAGGCTTCCTTGTCCTTCACTATCTCTTTGGAGTTTGCTCAAACTCATGTCCATTGAGCTGATGATGCCATCCAACCATCTCATCCTCTGTGGCCCCCTTCTTCTTTTGTCCTCAATCTTTCTTTCCCAGCTTCAATGTATTTTCCAGTGAGTCAGCTCTTCGCATCGGTTAGCCCAAGTATTGGAGCTTCAGCTTCAGCATCAGTCCTTCCAATGAATCTACCTTATGCTAGTTAAAAATCTTAAGAATATAACATAACAATTTAGTTAAAAGTTGGAGCCAGTGCTCTATTTCCAATAATAGTGGATCCTGGATGATGAGACTACATCCACACAGACTTGCCGAAATAACTCGCAGCCCCCAATTAAAATGATGGTGGAAACAAAATAACTCAAATGATGGTGGAGGCCTAACGCACCTGCTAACACTGTACCTATAAAGATCACGCAGCTCTTATTAATTTTAAATGTAAGATTTCACAAGTTCCTAATTTAGTTTTCTTCTTGAAGAAATGCTGTCTGGATGTCAGAAGAGGATCTGGACCTTCTTTCTTGAAATTCTATCCTGCCAGAGGATGTTACTTGTTTATGGGATTCTGATTCCAGTTTGAGTTATTTTTGACAGTGCTACATGTAGTATCAACATAAGGGACCACTGTGAAGAATGTCTTAATTTAATTTTCTTTCATGTGTTAATTCTGTAATTGCTTCCTAACCACACAGCTCAGCAGAGTGAGGGGCATGAAAAACTTGCTCAGGGCGCTGGCAGGAAAGGGCATTTTGTAAGCATTTTTAGACATTGATGGGTGTACCCAGAGCATTATATGTGCTTGGGTTATTTAAGACTGTGCAATTACGAAGTAATTAGGGTAATCATTAAAGGTTTTAGATCTATGACAACTGCAGAAATCATAAATGAGATATTATGAGGTTATAAATGGGATATTATGAGATTAAGAAATGATTGCACAATTAATGTGAAATATTTTCCTTCTTAAATTCATCAATATATCAAAAGAAGTATCTGCCAGGGTTTGCAGCTCAGATGTGTCTCCTTGGTTATTGTGCTTCAGGATAATGGTACCTAAACCTTTCCTCAGGTACTTTCTATTGTTCTTAAAGGCTGGTTGAGATGAAGAGGCTGACAAGGAGAGGCTGTGAAAAAATGCTAGTGAGAAGAGAAATGAAATTGTGTTGAACCAGTGAGAGAGAGGTTGGGGGTGAGAGGCATTGCATCGTATTTGACAGAACCTGAGCTCTGCGGTCCCAAAACCCCGGGTTGTGGGCTCAGCTCCGCCACCTGCCCTGCATTAAGGCACTTACACTGTCTGAGGACCAGGTTCCGTCTGTGAGCTGCTGAGGCTAACCTCCAGCGCCCACTAGTAATTACAACACGGCGGAATACATCCGGGCCCTGCATCAAGCCTGCGGTGTGGTGGTTCCGTCCTCCCAGCCCTGCGCAGTTGTCTCTGCAGAGTTGTCAAGAGAGAGTGCTTTGACTTACCCTCCCCTACCTGCCTGGGCTCTGGGGAGCTCTGGCCGCACAGGACAACAGTAAGGGATGGTGAGGCTCAGTCTCCTGGGAAAGCGGAACAACAGGGCGGGGGATCTTTTCCAGGAAGAGCTGGCGGGAGGCAGCGCTGACTCTCCCAGTGTACGTGGGGGATAGAAATAGTAAAATCCTTATTAATTATTATTTTTAAAAAGGTGTCTACACAGCGCCAGGCAAGAACTGCTGCTCCAGGTTCAGACTATTTTAGGTTGTTTTTCATTAAACGAAAATATTCCTTCCAGACCTGGTGTACCTTTGCCCACAAATAGTGGGTCATTTTGAATGTTGCTGGTCTAGAACATTCTAGGAATAGGGACAGCAGCTGCTTCCCAGGCCATTTGCCTTAGTTCTAAAATAGGTTGGTTTGCAGAAGGAAACAGTGGTCATTTGTGTGATTTCTTCCAGAACATAATTGCTGAGCATGAGATTCGTAACATCTCCTGTGCGGCCCAGGACCCAGAAGACCTCTCGACGTTCGCTTACATCACTAAGGATTTGAAGTCCAACCACCACTACTGTCACGTGTTTACTGCCTTTGACGTGGTGAGTAACTGCCCTCTTTAGGCTGACAAGTATTTCTGTGAATGTACCTGGAATTTATTGAAAGCAATTTAGGTGCTTGGTTTGTTTGAGTTTTGTTTGGTTTTTTCCTACTGTACTGGGTCTTCGTTGCTACATGCGGGCTTTCTCAAGTTGTGGCGAACAGGAGGCTGCCCTCTGTTGAGCTTCTTATCGCAATGGCTTCTCTGACTGTGCAGAGCATGGGTTTTAGGTGCAGGCTTCCGTAGTTGTACATAACACAGGCTTGGTTACTCCTCACATGTGGGATCTTCTGGCTCAGGATCAAACCTGTGTCCCCTGGCTGACAGGCAGATTCTTAACAACTGGCCCACCAGGACAGCCAAATGCTTGGTGTTTGTTTGTTTGTTTGTTTTACCAAATATTAAGGTAGTCATGGTATAAGATATTTTGCAGACTTCAGCTTTTCTGAGCTTTTTCTATATTTTCACTCATCCATTAAATTTCAAACTCCACTTCTATTCAGTATCTGAACTGCCATTGATCAACTCAAATATTAAGGTATTCATGGTATAAGATATTTTGCAGACTTCAGCTTTTCTGAGCTTTTTCTATATTTTCACTCATCCATTAAATTTCAAACTCCACTTCTATCCAGTATCTGAACTGCCATTGATCAACTACTAACTTTACTTTTTAAATTTAATGAATTCCTTTCTTTCTCTGGTACCAAAATACAGTAAATGTCTTTCAGCCTTTTTGTTCCTTCACTATGTCTGTTGGTTTCTTAGGTAGCCATTTCTAAATAGTAGGACATAGTAGTCTAGGTTTGTTTGGAAGAAATATAAATTTTAGTGCCTCATACAAGACTTACGGTTTTCTATATTGAATAGTAATTAAATTAGACATCTACAAATAGTAATTGGGAACAGTGAGGTTTGGTCTATTTAAATATGACCCATATTCAGAAATTAGTCTTGTAATGATGGTCTTATGGTGTTATACCACCTATAATCCTGTTTGTCATTGTCTTAAAACTAACCTATATGCAATATTTGTTTTTCTCGTTCTGACTTTTTTGTATGACAGACTCTAGGTCCATTCATGTTACTACAATGACCCAATTTCATTTCTTTTTATGGCTCACATTCCATTGTATACATATACCACGTCTTCTTTATCCATTCATCTGTCAGTAAACATCTAGGTAGCTTCTATGTCCTGGCTATTGTAAATAGTGCTGCGGTGATCATTGAGTTACATGTGTCTTTTTGAATTATGGTTTTCTCGGGATATATGCCCAGGAGTGGGATTGCTAGGTCATATGGTAGTTCTAGAACCTCCAACCTGTTCTCCATAGTGGCTGTATCAATATACATTCCCACCAACAGTGCAAGAGGGTTCCCTTTTCTCCACACCCCCTCCAGCATTTATTGTTTGTAAAATTTCTCAGATTTCTTGAGAGTGGCCATTTTAATTGGTGTTGGGTGATATGTTATTGTAGTTTTGATTTGCATTTCTCTGATAATGAGTGGTGTTGAGTGTATTTTCATTTGTTAGCTATCTGTATGTCTTCTTTGGAGAAATGTCTCTCTATATCTTCTGCCTACTTTTTGATTGGGTTTGTATTTTTCTGATATTGAGCTTCATGAGCTGCTTGTATATTTTGGAGATTCTTTTTCAGTTGCTCCATTTGCAAATATTTTTTCCCATTCTGAGGGTTGTCTTTTCGTCTTTTTTTGGTTTACCAAATAGCATATATTAACGCATATATATGGAATCGAGAAAATGGTGCTGATGAAACCATTTGCAGGGCAGCAGTGGAGATGCAGACGTACAGAACGGCCATGTGGAAGCGGGGAGGAAGAGGGTGGGATGTGTTGGGAGAGTAGCACTGGCCTGTATGCGCCACAATATGTAAAATCGATGGCAGTGGGCGCCTGCTGCGTGGCACAGGGCGTTCAGCTCCACACTGTGTGATGACCAGGAAGGTGGGAGGGGGTCGAGGGAGGGAAGGTCAAGAGGGACGGGATACATGTATGCATATAGTAAGTTCACTTTGTTGTACAACAGAAAATAACACAACCTTGTAAAGCAATTATACTCCAATTTTTTAAAAAGAATACATCTTATATAAATAAAATTTTTAAAAAACTAGTCCATATATTACAAACTTGGAAAATGAAAGCAATTCTAGAAAATAAAAAGTATTCCTTTTTGTACCTTTAAGATGGTCCAGGTTGTGAGCATAACTCTAATGCAGTACATTGGGCATTCTGCATTTGAAACAGAAGAGAGATACAACCGTGAAGTAATCCGTAATCAGAAGAATTCTATAATGTCACTCTAATTTGACAGTTCTGCTCTGCTGAAGGTTTAAAATACACATGTTTAAAGAGTTACACAGTGTTTGCAGTGGAATATATTCTTGGGATGCCAGCCCATGGTTTGGTGTCATGAGTAAGACTACTTGAAGCAATCTTTTTCAGTTCTGACAAATTCCCATGGACCAAGGATCACCAAAACCCAGAATTTGCCCCTAAGGGAAGTTAGGCTCATGCCCAGAGCACTATATTACCAGGCTGCATGTAGCCCATCCCTTGCAAATTTTGAAGATTGGAAACAGGAAAGAACGTTCTTGTGCCTTAAACTTTTTTTTCTATTTTGGGAGGCATGAGGAGAATAATATACAGGAGGTCTGTATTAACAGTTAAGGACTGCAAAGCCAAACCCTTACAGTATCCCTGGATGCACTTGTTCCCATGGAATCAACATTATTGATTATAGCCATGTCAGCATTAGGTTTCTGGTGCCTTTAGACATAATTTACCATTCTTGTGAGATGCAGTTGTTTCTTTAAACAACAGAATTTATCTTCTATCCCCACACCTTTTGGTTTGCATGATACACCCTTCTCTGGGAGAGTTGCCTTGTTGTCATAGAAAGGACGAGCTGCTCAGAGTTCACATTCCAACTTGCTGCCTGCTCCCTGATGTTAGATGAGGAGCAGGACTCGGAGTCCTGATTTCCTATGTCTGCAGAACAGGTGCAGGGATTTGTCCTCACAGGTTTCGTTGGGACTGAAACAAAGGGATGTATGTAGAGGCTCATAAACAATGTGTCATTGTCAGCATCACCACCACTTCTGTCTCTCTCCCTCCCTTCTGACCTCACAAGTCACTCTGGCCTTTTCCTGCTAAAAGACATAAGGTAGATCTTTCAGAAGCATATTTATGGTCCCACGTTTTCCCACTGCCCTTGCAAAAGAACTGAAAAAAACTAGAAGAATAAATAAACAGAAGCATACAGAAAGAAAGCATAGACTCTGTAGGCCTTCTGTTGGTCTATTGCTTCTATATAGTGTTTTCATTGAGTGCCAGCATTAATATTCCAGTATTGTCAGGATGAATTCCAGCCTTCCCTTGGGTATTGCAGTGTTTCTTTCTAAATTGGTTTTAGAGTAATATATAATTTGCCTCCATAAGAGAATCTAAAACAGTGTTCTCTATTCAAACTAAAAATGATACCCGTGGGCCATCTGGCCCCTTGAGTTTTTCAGCTGGTGTATATGTGATGCCAGAATTCTGAGGCGAAATATAGGGGGAAAATAGTCAACTGTTTGGTTTTAAGACCAACACAATGTCCCTGATACATTTTGAAAACATGTGGAGAATTGCTTCACCTTTTATCTTTTCATCCAGATGTTTGATTTAATGTAGACATTCACTAGCTTAGGAGTCTGGTATCAGCTCCAAAGGATTTTCATCTTACGCCATGAATCCACCATTTTAATCCTCTCTAGGTGAACAGTTTGTCTAACTTCAAAAATAGTCACAAAGGCCACCAGCCTTGACCTGGGCCTTTGAGCAGTTTTGAGATGCCCCAAGCTTTGTTTGCGCGCACACACACACACAAAGCCTCTTTGAGCATGGATTTCATGTCTTTATGTAGGGCAGTTCAATATTCAGTCCATTCTTGAAGCGAGAACATTCTTTTGATATGAATCAGTCCCCCAGGCTGCCCAAATGGCAAAATAATACCTCCAGTATACATTTAGTCTTTTAGCTGATGTGTTTTGAGTATACATTTGCTTGCTTTTTATTGGAGTATAATTCCTTTACAGTGTTATTCTGCTGTAGAACAGCATGAATCAGCTATATGTGTATATATATCCCCTCCCTCTTAAGGCTCCCTCCCACCCCCACCCGTACCTCCTGTCTAGGTTACCATGGAGCCACAGGCCGCGCTCCCTGCTCCACAGCCGCTTCCCCGGCTGTCTGCTTTACACACGCAGTGTACATGTGGCAGCGCAGCTCTCCCAGTTCAGCCCACCCTCTTCCCCCCGCCGCCCCCTGCCACGACATACACATTTGTAATTGCAGTTATTGCTACTTTCACCTTGTAGATCTTTAATGAGTCACAGCAAGTTTTTCTGAATATCTCCTATTATCAAGAAAATTCAGTGATAGGAGAACTTCCAGTTTACAGAGAGTTGGATTTGAAATTCAGAACATTTTTCACGTAGAAATCCTGTGGTCTTGGAAGAGAAGCTCAAGCCCCCCTACAAAAGCAAGCATGGGAATTTAACATGGTTCCTTTACTGAGGCACTGCAGAGCCCTCCGAAGGCTGAGACACCCAAGGGGGTGGAGTGCCTGTGTTTTCCAGGGTCATTTGGCCGTGGAGCCTCTTGTCAGGAGAGCTCCTCACGGGCCTGGCGTTCTGCGGAACACACTTCAGAAAATGTTTCGCTTTATCTTCTCTAAGCTTGTTCTCATACCTAAGAATTTGTTAGGTTGGTACAAAAGTAATTGCAGTTTTGGACCGCAATTTTTAAATTTCGTGCCATGAATTTTAAATCATTATAACTAGGCTCCAACACATCTTTATTAGTCAAAATAGGAACTATTACAATCAACACATTTTTGCCAAAAAGAAATGTTTGTTTATTTCTGTAGCATGCTTCAGGATTTGTTTATTTCTGTAGCATGCTTCAGGATTCCAAACTCTTGGAAAACATTTTCTG